ATTTGGCTCAGCAGCAATAAAGTTTATGTTAGAAGATGAACTCAAAATATCATTACACACCACCGCACCGTACGCATCGACAAGTAACGGACAAATAGAAAGGTTTCATTCAACCCTATCTGAAATCATGCGGTGTCTCAAAAAGACAACGGGAGCATATCATTTGAAGATTTAATCTTTAAAGCAGTTCAAGAATATAATAAATCGATACATTCTGTAACAAAAGAAAGACCCATAGACATATTTTTCAGAAGCACAATTTCTAGTTCAACAGAAGATATAGAAAAGAAACGAGAAGAAATAAAAAAGAAAATTAAAAATAAACAAACAGCCGACCTCGAAAACCATAATCAAGGAAAAATATTAGCAAAACTTTTTAAGCCAGGCGAAACTGTACATGTAAAAATAGATAAAAGATTAGGAACTAAACTTACACCTAGATACAAAACCGAGAAAGTAGCGGAAAATAGAACGACCACCATTAAAACACAAACCGGAAAAATCATACATAAAAATAATATAAGAACATAAATTTTCAGATTATTTTTACCAACATGCTTGGGAATAACTACAGTCCTCGACTATTCCAATTCACAAATCATCTCACTCGAAACCGGATTAGCGGCTAAACAAGACGGAACATTTAAAATCATCCACATCTTTAACCTACAAAGCTATGAAGAAACTCTGGCGAAGTTAGAAGAATCATTTCATTCACTCACCCCATCTCATCCATTACACCCATATCTTTCCTATGAACTAAAACAAATCCAAACGGATTTACGCATACTCCAAACTCAAAAAAGACAAAAAAGGGCAATAGAAGCAATAGGTACTGCATGGAAATGGCTGGCGGGATCGCCAGATCACCACGACTATCAGATCTTAGAAGACAAGATAAATGAGCAGCTAGAAAACAACAATAGACAAGTAGTAATTAACAGATTAATTAATCAAAAAATAAACCAACTTACTAACGCTACTAATGCAATGTTGAAAATTACCCAGAGCTCGGAAGAAATCATAAATCAGAAAGCAAATATTTTAAAGTATAAAATGCAATTAATAAAAGAAGAAATAATTAACATAATATACGCAATTACATGGGCCAAATCTAATACAATAAATTCATTTGTACTTACAAGCACAGAGACCAAAATAGTGGAAGAAATTTTTAAAAAAGAAAATAACTTATTTTTTAACATAGAAGAATTATTGGAATTTGCTCGAATCAAGTTAGCCACAAATGGCAACGACCTTATTTACATTATTAGCTTACCAACCATTGAATCAGATAATTGTAGAACTTTAAAAATTAAAGCAATAAAAAAAGCCCAAATAATCAATGATATAAAATATGAAAATTTTTTAGAATGTAAGAGACAATTATTGGCAATAATTAAACCTTGTGAATCCTATAATGATAAGACAATTTGTAATTCAGAAAATTTGTTAGATTTAAGCAATGATACTTGCGTAAACGCTCTATTAAACCTTCGAGAACCAGAATGTAAGATGATCAACAATCAACATATACCGGATTTCGAAGAAATACTACCAGGCACCATCCTGCTAAACAACTTCAATGGACCAGTCTCACTAGATGAAAAACATCTACAACTGCAAGGCTCTTTCATAATACAATATCGTAATTCGACGGTAACAATTGGTGAAACCATCTTCAAGTCAAAGGAAATCAACGTAGTCGAACCAGAACCTCCGTTATTCCAACTTTTGGGCGAAAAGACTAAGTTAGAGGAAGTTCTCTCACTACAAATGGTCAAGGAACTCAACATTAACAACACAAAAGCGCTGGAAAAATTAAGAAGCAAGGCAACCATAGAATCTTCCGTTAGCTACGGATCCGCCATCATCCTACTACTACTTATAATAGGATCAATCACGGAACTCCTACGAAGACGTAGGTCAACGGAAAGGACACCAGTTTCCGTGCCAGAAACGCAAGAAAAGCCCACGCACTCCGGACCTGTACTCTACTACGTTGCGACCGAGGACAGTCGCGTTTAAGGAGGGAAGAGTTAACACCCAAAATAATACAATTTCTCAGACAGAGGAAATGAGTAAGCATTGATTGCACAACAAACAGCAAAGCAATGCCCTCAATAAAGTTCTAACGAACTTAGCTTGCACCTTTTGGTCAGCGATCGTGGGAATGCAGAATAGACAATTTCCAAAGTTGATCGAACTCAACTTAGTGCATACAACAAAAACTATAATTAAAATGCACTGGCCAATTACAATTAAGTTTGGCCAACGGCGACGGCGACCAAGAGCAGCAACCAATAATATGAAAGAACGTCAGCAGAAACATCAACAGCGGCAGAGACGGCGGCAGCGATGGAGCGACGCGTAGCTATAAAAACAATTGTTTAATCTAAGTAAGTTAGTTCTTAATCCAACTCAATAAAGGAAAGTTTGATTTTTTTATATAAAAATCATAACCAATCTTTTAACTTATATATGTATTAACGTGTGATGTGAGGAATTTCACACTCTACATCTGTTTGATTTGCATTTTTTGACCGTGTGACCCTTTCTAAAGCGGTTAATGCATAAGGGTGCTCTTTTAGTGAAATCGAATATTTGCTGAACTGTTAGCGCTGCGAAGGAAGCGCAGTTTCCAATCTGATGTTCAGCTGAGTTGCAATACACGCATTGAACAGGGTCGTTCCTGGCAGCGCCAAACGAAAAACTTATATTTCCATTTTTCTTAGGGTTAGATTGGGTCGGCTGAACAGTTTTGGGCTTGGAAGCCTCTTCCGCTACCATATGTTGGTATCGCTTTTGAGGGACGCTTCACATTCGCTCCAAAGTGGAAGCGAAGTATAATCTAACTGTTCTTCCAATTTTCTTTTAGTTCCTGCATCGACCTTGCTCATTATTTTCAAGGATGTATCAGAAGGCGGGGAAATTGTTTGCAAATTAAAAATTGTCGATATGATGTCAAAACAAGAAAGAAAGCAAACTTCGGCAAGCCGAAGTTCATATACCCTTGCAGCTATTGCAAGAATTAAATATTTTTGAAAACATTAAAATTAAGATTTACTTGCGTATATGTTTAAAAACAAGCTAGGATGATTTGCAGCTCAATTATTAGATAGTTATTTTATATATTTATATTATTTCTATGGGAGCTATATGATATAGTCGTCCGATATTGATGAAATTTAAACCGTTTGTATAAAATATTTAACCATTACTATATGTCGAAGAACTAAAAAAAATTAAAAAACAGCAAAGTTATAATTTTTTTGAATTTTTTTCGATTGTTTCTATGGGAGCTATATTATATAGTCGTCCGATTTTGATGAAACTTAAAATGTAATTCTGAAATATTTAACCATTACTATATGTCGTAGAACTACAAAAAAAAATTAAAAAACAGCAAAGCTATAATTTTGGCATTCCACAGAGATATTCGTAGTCAAGACATGGTTAATTTGGACTGCTGAGATGCAAGCATCTGTATCAATATGTTTTGATTTTGCGTATGGTCCATCATACTTTGTTGCAAACTGATCATCACAGTTGCGATTTTGGTCTGGCTGCTCTGCCGAAGAAAACTTCAGGTGTGGTTTGAGATATAAAGTGGACGTTTTTTGTTGCCTGGAAACGTGCCGGTGTTGCACGATGAAAACGATTCGTTTGATTCTTGTAGACAGGATAGTTTGATATGTGGTTTTCTCCACACGCTTTCACATTTTCATAAGAGAGTTTTTTTTTTGTTGGCAGGACAAGGTTTGGAGTTGTGGCAGTCTCTTCAAGCTACACAGACTGACCTTAGGATGCAGTAAAACCCTGTGTGGCAGTTTGTGCATAGCACTTCCGTTTGTGCGGCGGTGATTCTTCGGTGCAGAAGGTACTGCAACTTGTAGATCAGGTGCCCTTCGTTTTTCTTTAAAGTTCTACCAGACCAGCTCGACTGAAAAGTGGTTGTGGCTGCAATAAAAAGAATACTTTTGGGAAAGTTTCATTCAGATAACTGAGAGACTTGTTTGCGTTTCAAATCTCAAATCTCTAGCTTTTATATTGAATATTGTTATCTGAGTCATCTAATAGTCGGCAAATTCGACTAAAGCGTTATTTCCTCTTTTATACTGCTAAGTATTTCCCCAATACGGAAAAGTTGAAATGTTTTTCAATTTCCTTTCCGTATATTATTTTTTTTATTTAAGTCGTGAAAGCAAAAAAAGATCCTTTCAAGCTTGCTACAGCGCTTTAAAAGAAGCTAAAAATAAATGCGACGGAACAAAACAGACGTCCAAAGAACGTAGAATACATGACTCAGAAAACCAAGAAAACCATTAATCATGAAGGATGTAGTTAGTGGTATGGATTTGCTTTTCCTACTATAAAGTAGGCCCAATATATTGGATTAAAACCATTATGTATCAGCACGTCTACGTGCATATTTTGTAAAATATTATGCTACCGTTTCGAGAGTAGGAAATCAGGCTCATATGTATAATCCAGCAGGAAAGCTTAGGAATGGTTCAGAAAAAACTTTGTCAACGATTTGAAGTGACCAGCGCAGTCGCCTGACGTTAATCCTGTGGGATCCGTGGTCGGACCTTAAGACGGCAATTGCTGCTTCTAAGCCAGCTAAAATTGATTAGCTTTGGGTAGTATTAAGGCGTTTCGGACCAACATTCCACACAGCTGCCATTGTAAGATGCGGAAAAAAATAAACAATTAAAACTTATTAATCAGAAACGCATACACTCCAAAATATAGCCATTTCGGTTCTTAACGAAAATTCGATTTTAATATTTATAATTTATTAATATATAATATACATAACACATAGCTGTGATAGGATAGGAAAAATGACAACTTCGTTTTTTTTCTAACAATTAGTTTTCATAGACTATATTATACACTATATTTTTTCCTTTGGTTCTATACTGGATAAAGTAGCAACAACTTGCAGCAAACTGAAAAATTTTGCTTTTAAATTAATAATGATGTTTTATTTTTAGGGCTTGCGAACATTGGAACTATGCGTTGATAACTTGCAGCCTGACTTTTTATATGATCACATACAACCAGTGAGAGCAGCATTGATGCAAGCTTTGTGGAAAACCTTAAGAAATCAGGACAATGCCGCATTAGTTGCGTTTCGCGTTCTTGGAAAATTTGGAGGTGGAAATCGAAAAATGATGGTGGAGCCGCAAATTTTATCTTATCAGAAAACTGAAAAGCCAACCATATCAATTGTAACATATTTTCAAGAGTATGAGACCCCGATAGATTTTCCTGTCGATGAGGCGATTGAATCAGCTCTCAGAGCCTTGGGATCAAACTCTACTGAACAGTTTTATAGACGACAAAGCTGGGAAATAATCCGATGCTTTCTAGCTGCGTTCATAAGTTTGGATGATGAAAAACATATATTGCTAAAACTTTTTACTCATGTGGATTTTGTTGAAAGTAATATTATAAATTCGTCTACGCTTCAACATAAAATCGAGAATGAAACTGTACGAGGAACGCATCAAACAGCCCTAATAGGAATGTTAGTTGCTTCAGCAACAAAGGATTTGCGTGATTCTGTGTGTCCAGTAATGGCCGCCGTTGTAAGACATTATACTATGGTAGCTATAGCACAACAGGCGGGACCTTTTCCACAGAAAGCGTATCAAACTGCGAATGGAGTTGATCCTTTGGTATTAATTGATGCTTTAGCCTCTTGCATGGGTCATGAAGAAAAGGAATTATGTAAACCAGGAATAGCATGCATGGGTATTATTCTTGACACTGCAACAAATATTATGGGTAATAAAGAAAGAGCGTGCAGATTACCTATTATCCAGTATTTAGCTGAAAAATGATATCCCTATGCTATGACCGCCCCTGGTATTCAAAAGTGGGGGGTTGTCAAGCAATTCAGTTTTTATGTAAACATATGTCTCTGCGTGCTCTTTTTCAAAATCTCTTTAATTTTTTAAAAGCATTTATGTTTGTACTAATGGACCTAGAAGGAGATGTTTCTAATGGCGCTATCGATATTACAAAAAACTATATGAAAACTATGTTGGAAATTTGCTTAAGCCCTATAAGTGAATGTTATAAAAATGCAGATTTAAATGATTTGCAATCCAAAGCATCTTATGAAGTTATTCACGAGTTAGTGCGACACATAACAAGTCCCAACGCAATCGTCAGAGAAGAATCTATGGCATTATTAAAACACATTGGAACCCTGCAATCAAAAACCGTTTCCGAAGTTATGGATCCACATAAGGATGTCCTCGCTGACATAATACCTCCGAAAAAGCATTTGTTAAGGCACCAGCCCGCAAATGCACAAATAGGATTAATGGATGGCAACACATTTTGTACAACTTTAGAACCACGTTTATTTACGATAGGTAAGTTTATAGTTCCCTTAACCTTTACACGGGTTTGGTCTTTACAACAACAACAACAACAACAGCTAACGTGTTGCAATATCGTTAATTTCGTCTTTCGTTTCCATTTCAAAGATTACATCTCACAGTGGGGTGATACAGGTTACTTTTAAGAATTAAAGTTAAAATCAAAACTCAAAAACAATACAAATTGTTGATACCTACTTGAAGTACATAAAAAAAGTTTTCATAATTTTAAAATCATCATTTTATGGATTACAGGACCAATGTAGTAGGCTCTTAAACATTCCGTTTCCGATCTACAAATTCTAAGTTTATTACAAATCTTTAATATGTTCGCTAGTTTCGAGATTAAGTAATAAAATGATGTGTTTAATAGTTTTATACCCTTGTAGAGGGTATTATAATCACACAGGAAAATATTCTCAATGGGACAATTTAGAGAAGTGAGCTGCGCTCAGCTCAAGGCTAGGCTCTTGAGGGGAGCTACTTTCGACTAGGCGGTCAATTCAGACATTTTTAAACCTTTAGCAGTTTGAGTACGAACGTAGATGCACGCTCCATACGGTCGCATGAAAGCGTCAGCGAAACCATGTATTAGAGAAGGATATTGCGAATCTGGGTGGACGATACCCGAGACCTTAATTTTCGGTAGCCGCAGAAGCGATACTTTAAAAGCTTGCAACAACATCTTTGCCTCTGTGTCCAAAGGCCACAAGAAGCCAAGTGGGTCGAAAAGTCGGAGTCTGCCATAAGTGGCATTACAGCGCTATCAGATGCGGATAACTCTGGGCAGTTTGAAAACTACTTTGCCAATTTAAAACCTGCCTTTTGCAAGACCTGAGAAACTTCGTCTCGAAGACTTTGCAGGTCCTCAACGCATCCGGCTGTAGTCAACAAATCGTCAACATAAAAATCATTCTGAATAACCTTTTGCGGCTTTTGGATGAGTTGTTTGTGTAATTGTTCATAGTCGCATTAAACACCGAATCGCTAAGAAGGGTGCTGGCGAAATTCCATATGTAACCGGTTTAACTTAAAGATTTTCAGGGACTCGGAAGGATCTCGTCTCCATACTATGAGCTGGAAGTTTCGGTCAGCTTCGACAATTTCCTTTCTAGCGACAAAAATCTAAGTTTCGCAACTTCGTATGACGAACCAAGAGTATTTGGGCTAGATTTGAACGGCAAACGAACCGAAAATTTACTGGACGACAATCTTTAAGTATTTTTCTCAAAGTGTTGTTGACAGAGTTGTTGCTCAGGAGTATGGACTTTAGTCTTGGGCGGCAAGTGCTCCCAAGACCAAAATTTCTGCAGGGTTGTGTCAATTGACTCCAACGCTTCCTCCTGGCAAGTGAGATGTACCATTTTTTCAGCGTTTACATTATTTTCAGAGGCACATCTCCTGACACTATTTAGCCGAGAACTGTTTTTTGTAAGATGGGGATTCAGGCCCCTGCTTTATCTGGCCAATAGATAAAAGTTCAAAGAATGTACCAGCGCCGATAAGCATATCTATTTTTGGGGCTTGAAGTACCCTCCACCCGCTGGTGGTGACCGCTTCACCCGGATGGTAACCAGAAATATTTTTCATGATCCAAAAATCGGACGACAACTGTTCCCTACTCGCGACTTCACAACCGTGTTTTTTTGTGGCTTGGGCATTAGTTCCACCAATGCCTCGCAAGCACATGCACACGTCCTGTCTTGTAATTTTGAGCCTCTGGGCGAGCTCATCGGTCACAAAATTTATTTGTGAACCAGAGTCGAGCAACGCTCGAGCTAATACGAACTGACCACTTTTGGTTTGAACGCTCACAACAGCAGTTGCAAGAATGGATGGAGTCTCCTGCATGAGCGTGGGCTGAGAAGGGGGTGTCAACGCGAGATTTGTGTTTGGGGAATATATATGTATTAACGTGTGATGTGAGGAATTTCACACTCTACATCTGTTTGATTTACATTTTTTGACCGTGTGACCCTTTCTTAAGCAGTTAATGCATAACGGTGCTCTTTTAGCGAAATCGAATATTTGCTGAACTGTTAGCGCTGCGAAGGAAGCGCAGTTTCCAATCTGATGTTCAACTGAGTTGCAATACACGCATTGAACAGGGTCGTTCCTGGCAGCGACAAACGAAAAACTTATATTTCCATTTTTCTTAGGGTTAGATTGGGTCTGCTGAACAGTTTTGGGCTTGGAAGCCTCTTCCGCTACCATATGTTGGTATCGCTTTTGAGGGACGCTTCACATTCGCTCCAAAGTGGAAGCGAAGTATAATCTAACTGTTCTTCCAATTTTCTTTTAGTTCCTGCATCGACCTTGCTCATTACCATATGTATTAATTAGTAATCCGTCTATCCTCCCCAATAGAGAGCAAGGAGTCATACAAGGCTGCGACCGTGTCAATGAGGGTTTTCAAGGCTGTATCAGAAGGCGGGGAAATAGTTTGCAAATTAAAAATTGTCGATATGATGTCAAATCAAGAAAGAAAGCAAACTTCGGCAAGCCCTAGTTCATATACTCTTGCAGCTATTGCAAGAATTAAACATTTTTGAAAACATTAAAATTATGATTTACTTTCGTATATGATTAAAAACATTGAATCTATTATGATTTGCAGATAAATTATTAGATTGTTATTTTATATGTTTTTTATTACTTTTATGGAAGCTATATGATATAGTCGTCCGATTTTGATGACATTTAAACCGTAATTCTAAAATATTGAACTATTACTATATGTCGGAGAACTAAAAAAAAATAAAAAATCAGCAAAGTTATAATTTTTTTTTTTTCCCGATTGTTCTTATGGGACCTATATTATATACGTATAGTCTAGGTCGACTCGTCTAGTGATGCTGATCAAGAATATATATACGTTATAGGGTCGGAAATGTCTCCTTCACTGCGTTGCAAACTTCTGGCTGAAATTATAATACCCTCTGCAAGGGTGTAAAAATACGATTTGGAAAGATGCCTATAGCTTTTACACTGCGCAAAATAAATTCAATTCTTGCAAGCTATATCCGTTTGTCGTTATGGGAGCTTTAGGATATAGACGTCCGATCGGTGCGCTTTTAAAACTTGATCTGCGTACACATGTCTTAGGACGACTGTGAAAATGGCAAACGGTATTGAAACAGCCGGAAGGGTATATGAACTTTTGCCGAAGTTTGCTTTCTTTCTTGTTTATGAATACGTTATTCAGGGTAAAAGAGCGTGCCGATCGGACGTCACAATTGTTAATAGCTGGGAAAATATCTCCTTTTTTATATTTTTATGTGAAATTATTAATTAAAAAAGCTATAAACATGAAACTATGCAAATCTAAATATAGAGGGTATTATAATTTTGGTCAGAGGCTTGTAACGCAGTGAAGGAGACGTTTCCGACCCTTGTAACGACCCTGTTTTGGGAGGCGGTATAGCTCGCCGTGGCCGTGTGTTCGAGACAGAAATTTATTTCCTCTTTTGATCGGTTTACATCCCTTTCTCCAAAGAATAACACAAATCGAACGCTACAGAGTATGGTTATATTTTAATAGTACGATTGATTAAGACTACGTTTTCTAACTATAATTATATCGAACGTGATACTTCTTGATAAGTGGCGTCGGCGCTGCTGAAGGGCCGAATGTGGTACTGCTTGTTGATATCGACGCTGCGGAAGGGCCGAGTATATCGCAGATCGTTGAGTATGGCACTGCTTTGTGTGCGGGATCGGCGCTACGGAAGCTGGCACTGCGCAATGGTTCGAGGAACTGCTTGGCGTTGCAGATGTGTGATGGCTGAGTGTACTGATTGGTGTTGACGCTTCGGGAGGGCCGATTAAGCACTGCTTGGTGTCGACGATGCGTTGTGGCTCGGTGCACTGCTTGGTGTCGGCGCTTCGGAAGGGCCGATTGTGCACTGCTTGTCGTCGTCGTGTCTCGTCGTTCGAGTACGTCGGGTTCGTAGTGTTCTGGGTCGTTTTAGAGGAAGGAACTACTTGGATTTTCTAGTGGGATTTGGGAATGTGGGACATCGTTAGTTTCGAGCTGCCGGGCATCGTTAGTTTCGATCTGCCGTTTTATTCCGTATCGTTTCCGGGTCGGAAGCCGGAAACGTGACTTCTGGGAGGAACTCACTGAGATGGGCCGAAGTAACGAAAACCGTGCCGGGCTCAACCGGGCCTGGGTGCGTATTCCTAAACCACGCCGGGCGTCTGTGATCCTCACCAGGTCGTAGAGCCGAATTCAAATCGAACTCTTACGGATCCACCACCACTAAGACTAACTACCAGAACACTTACCCGGGTATTCCTTCTAGCTGTTGTTTCCTCGAGAGTCGTCGGAACGCAAGTGACTGGTCTGGGGCTGTGTCTCCGCTTATATAGGCGCTGCTTAGTGTGACCAGATCGGACGATGATGATAATTCCGCATTGGGTAATCGGGATTATCGGCAATCGGCAATCGATAACTTCGTCTAATAAATGTGACCGGGTGCTGTTGGCTTTGGGAGCGCGTTTGAATAATAAAAGGGCAGTATTTGGAATGTTCTTTTTAAGCTTTAATGTGAAAGTTGAATTTTATATAATTGTGACGCTGGGTCGTCACACCCTATAATGTATATATATATTCTTGTCAGAATCACTAGGAGAGTGGCTCTAGCCATGTCCGTCTGTCCGTCCGTCTGTCCTTCTGTCCTTCCGTTTCTACGCAAATTAGTAATTTTTAAAGCTATCTGCAGGAAACTTTCCCAACAGTTGTCTTTCTATTGCAGGTAGGATATAAGTCGGAACGAGCCGGATCGGACGACTATAGCATATAGCTCTCATATAGCTTTTTCGTGAACTAGTACTAAACCGCAACTTTGTGCCATATTAAAAGACTTTAGAACTTTTAATGTAATACGATAAAAATGTATAATATGATATAAAACAGGAAAGGAAGCAAACTTCGAAAAGCCAAAGTTTGTACACCCTTGCAGCTAATGCAAAAATAAAATATTCTTT